TTACGTGGCCGAAACTCGAAGACCATTGCTGGTCCCCAAGCAAACTCTTATCTTGGCTGACTACAAGCGGAAGACTCACTTAAGCATACAAAGCTTGAAAAGTGCAATAAAATTCATAAACTCAACTTTAGAAACTTTAAATCAAATTAACAACTTTGAGTAAAATAATATATTCAACTAGCCATAAAATAGGCAGCTTTAGTCTTTAAAACATTTAATAAGATAAATGAATAATACAAACTTCTTAACTAAACTGACTATCTATGAAGCCTCTAACTGATAAGGATAAAAGTCGGGACAAGACCCACGACCTCCTAACTAAGCTGAAAAGTAAATGAAATCCTCCGGAAACAAGGAGGCTCACCATGACTAACTCGAACTCTAGAATGTATCAACAACACTCTTGTTGATGATCCTGAATACTTTTGTCTGCATCATCAAAAGATGCAGGCCAAATGGCTCAGTACATGGAATGTACGAGCATGTAAGGGGAACTCTAAAACATAATATAAGCTTGATACTTGAATAAAAGATGGAAATATACTTACCTCTTCTCAAATTTGAACCTCAAGGAATACTCAAGAATAAGAAACTCAACGTAGAGAGCAAATACGGAATTCAAAAATATGATACTCTACAATGGATACTCAACTAAATATACTTAATTTTTGATATTTTATTGAACACATTTTGATATAAAACAGTTTAAAACAAGTGCAATATAAATAAAAGTTGTTTAAAAACATGATTTTAACTCAAGATAATAATATCATAAAAACATATCATGCTCCCTCTCAAAGTCTACTTGTGCAATGCATGAATGAAATCTCATACACCTATTCATACTAAGCAGAACCCCTTAAGGAACCATGGAACTAATATTGTGCAACCATCACTATGAGCCTAAGTATTGGTACAACGTATTACCTCACGTTGGAAGAGGACCATCCTACACCTTGCCATCGGTATACGACCTTACTCAACTTAGTGGATCCACTACCTCTCCTTACATGATCATCTAAAAAGTATGACCTATAAATTCCCATGGTGGCTACATGGTTTACATGGAGATTTGAGTTAATATGAACTCTAATCCCCACATTGGTGATCAATACTACTCCCAATTTGTAGTTTAGCTCATTCTTTAATTGACACTTTCTTTTCTTTGGGTTGAGATAATATGCTAAACCCTTTAGCTATAAGAAGTTCCTCTAGGAATAAATGTTCCCTTTTTGTTCAAAACTCTTTTTGAACATCTAGTTCCCTTCTTATTCAAATGTGAAACATTTGTAAACCTTTAGGGAATACTTAGTCCCCTTATAGCTTTTGAGAAATAAACTTAACTCTTAGAGAATACTTAGTTCCCTCATAGCTTTTGAGAATTTAACTCAATTCTTTACTCTTTCTTGACTTGAACTTTAAGTCTGTAAAACCAAGTGAAAATTTTTGTAAGAGCCTTTAGAAAACTTTACTTTGACTTGCTCTTAACTTATAGACTTGGATCTTAACTTATAGACTTGACTCTTAACCTTCCTTGAATTGAAGTATGAATTCAAGGTTTATGATCTCGTGAATATGACTTCATGATTTTCAACTTGGGGGATTCATGCGGAATTATGAGCATGAACTACTCAACAAGAGAACTTAAAGGTACTTCTTAACTCAAGATAGGAATAAGGAACTCAGTACTCAAGACTTAGAACTTGGAGGTACTACTTCTCTCAATAATACATGATTTATGGAATTTATGCAAAATTATGGGCATGAACAACTCGATTCGAAGTTCTAAGTAACTAGATGGAACTCATGTATATGACTCTATCATCCTATTATCTACTTCTTCGAAACTTAGTTCATGACATGGAGGATCTTTGTGATATTGTAGACTAAAGAATACATTCTCCTCACTCTTATACTCACTTACTTGAGTGTTGAAACAAGTTACTAGAAGTTGTGGAAGACTCCTCAAAAGGACTTTCTTAAAATGTTTGAAAGAATTCTCAAAACTTATATCTCAACTATACCTTGAATCTGAATTATGAATTAAAGATTATTACCATGTTAGGACATATTTTAGGTGTTTAGAAGTAGCTTATATTAGTCAGAACCGAAAAGGAGTGAAGGTGCACTTTAAATGAACTCAAACGGAACTACCGGAGGCAACTGAACTGGGAAGACGACCCTGGGTCTATGGCTGGTGCGGATTCCCAACCCTTGACGGACAGAGATGGGTTTGGGGCGCTTTGGCAGGCACACCATGCCAGGACCCAACCCAGAATTTCTGCCGAGCACTTTTGCTCGTCTTCTCACCTTAAATCGCCTAAATTCGAACGGTTTCTTTCCCAATCACTTGGATTCAATTACTTAAATTAATTATACTCTAATATAATGGAAGAAAAATAAAATTACTCAATTTTATCTCAAGAAATCATCAAAATCCAACATAACAAGATTTGAAATGAACTTCAAGATCACCTTTCAAGAACTCATCAAGAAGTCTAATCTTTAAACTTTAAGCATGAAATTTCGCTGAAAAAAAATACATGATTGGCGTGTGGATGAACTAACCCAATACTATGGAAGCTTACAGACCTCTTAGGTATTATACCCATGGCGAAAATCTGCTACTAAACTTAAGAACGTGGACGAACGCCTTCATCCTTACCTCTTTTCTCCTCTTTTCTTTTCTTGCCTCTTCTTGAACTCTCAACTAAAACACTAGGTGTCTATTAGGATTATAAAACTGAATCTAAAAGGATTATACCCCTAAAATATGAATAAAAATGAGCTAAATCTGATTGGGTAAGGAAAGGACCAAAATACCCCTCACTATTTTCGGCTAACTTTCCTTAACTGGACAGCCTAATTTCAAAAGGTCATACCTCACTCATCTGAAATAGAAATTTATCAAACACGGAGGATTTGGAAAAATAATTCAAAGATCTTTCCAATGGTGTCTTTTTTTCACACGTAACTCATTCTCTACTGGGATTTATGGTTGTTTGAAATTGATCCAAAACTCATACCTAGCTTAGCTCTCAAAATTTCAGATTTTTGTTATCCCCAATTTAATTTTTTTTGGAACTCTTGGTGCTATTTCTAGAGAACTAACCTTAAGACTTAAGAAATTTTTGATTCCTTGGTGAAATATCACCCACTACGATTAACGACTCAAGTCTTAGTCCGAAAAAAATTTATGAGGTGTTACAATATCTCCCCCTTGGGATCATTCGTCCTCGAATGACGACTGGACTTGGTACGTAATGTGTTACTTTTACTAAGGACTTAATATAATGGTATTATCTTACTAAATTCAATCTTAACTGAAATCCTTAAGTTCAGAATATATACCTCTCTATAGGGAATCACATCTCAAACTATTACTCTGTACCACCACATGCAAGCTTAGAAATCTTACAACTACATGAACTCCTACGAATCAAATCCTTATGAAATTCTCAACACTTGACTTGATTTCTCATCATATCATATCCCCCTTGGGTCTAAAGCTAATACTTGAAAGCTATGAACCTATTCCACATCGGTAACTGGTGTACATTCTCTTAATGATATTTTTACACTTGTGACTTAGCCACCACTGTCCTTATCTAAAGGTTAGGTTCTCTACTACTCACATTCATTACAACAACCATCTCAGTTCCTCACCTATTATATGTCAAATCTACCATACCAAACTTCAAGACTAACACCATCACCCTTTTGTTTCCATTCTTTTGGATCATGACACTCATCTCAAATTCAATCTTAATGATTATTACTAAACCCGAATGTCAATACGACTGCTTACCTACTGTATCATACCTCATTACTACTATGGCAATTTTGGAAACACTTGCCCACTCGGACTTCATGACAATTAGTCAATCCTTACGTCTCATCTGCATACTCTAATTACCATCACATTCCACTTCACAACTTAGGTAGATCTTACTAACTTGCTTCGCATTATCTCTCAAATAACTCCATCATTCTCTAAATAAGAGGTTCTCCTTTCAAAATTCATAAGCCTAGATTAGATCTATCACTTTATGAATACTTTTTCTCTTCTATTCAACACTTATACTTGATCATTACTGATATAATGACACTTCAAAACAAACTCCTTTCTACTTAAGGTATACTCTAGCTCATATTGACTTGTAAATCTTACGCTACCCCATATCCTAAACTCTTTACAACTCTTCACCTTTTAGTTTACCACAAGGGAAAATGTTCATTAATAACTTTTTAGGTTCATGACTGTAGAATCATAACTTGTCAAAACACTATCTTCCTTATTAGAATTACTAAATCTCTGCATATTTTACTCTAACTCAGGGCTCCTTTACTTGTACTGCTCATGATCTAATAACTCATGCTACTCTTTTGGGTGGAAAATCGTACCCAAGCTCCAGGCATACATTCACATAAAGATCTCAGCTGAAACAAGATTTAAAGAAAAGAGTACAACTCGCTTTTAGCTCAAACGACGATTCATATGAATATGGGTGCATTACTCTGAAACCGAATACTTTACTTACTTTTGGACTTCTCTCAAGCCCTTCTAGCACTACAAGAAAATAGGCCTTTAACGAGGGGAAATACAGTCGTTAAATGTCTAAATCCGATCGTTATAAGTCAATAGCGACCAGAAAATATCTGATCGTCACCGGTCATTAGAAGCTCCGTCGTTAAAAGTTAACGACCGGATTCTAATCTGGTCGTTAAAGATTCTTTAGCGATGACATATATTGCAGTCGTTATACATCATGTTTTGCAACAAGATTTTCCCTTATCTAATTTGTCATCCGGTCGTAAAAAGAGATTATAGACGAAATTTCCTTCGTTAATTGTATGTTATTTTAATAGTCACATTTTTTTTTACTAATGCTCATTCTACTATATGTGAAACTTTTCGTTGAAGAATTGTAACAATAAAATTTCCTTGTGCTAAAGTAAAATTTCAACAAATATAAAAACCAAAATAACACATCCAAAAATAAATTAAAGAAATAATATTTATATAAAATTTCTTTGTTGATACAATGAGCTATGCCAATCCACATGGGTTAACATTATTTTTATGACTTCCTAAAAGAGAGAAAATGATCTATAGATGTACATAAGATCCTTGTACAACTTGCTCAGCACTTTCCTCACGTACAGGTTCTTCAAATTTTATATTCTTTATCTGTAAAGGAAAAGATTACATTAGATTAGTAGAATATGATTTTGATGCAACTAGTTCAAATGAATTGAATAGAGAAGAAAAGTTTATAAATAATACCACCATGTGCCAACAACATAACAACAACAAGCCACCAATAAACTTAGATCGGAGGGCCACTTTAAGCACTACCAAAGAACAAAAATGAAACCCACTAAGTACTAACATATGATACATTTTGCTTCACTTAGCAGAAGTCAGTAAAAAGGTGGAAAATTTATTTGAGATATCAGCTTGATGGGAAAATAATAAAGCAAATACAAAATCTATAGTTTCTCACATTATTCACAATTGAGCGGGTTCTAGGGGTTACATGAAGCATAGCTAATCCCAGGAGTTTATCCACAGTGATCATAGAACTGAAATATGGAAAAATAATAAGCAATAAGTAATTACAAAAGAAAATTTAGTAATAACCTCATGATTAAGCAGCTTCCACGGGAGGTAAAAATCTATAATGATAACAGTCTGACCAACATATGCAACATATAAATTATCAATATCTTCCCCTGATGGAACACTGGTATACTGCATAAGGGTAGCTGGTGGGTCTGTTAGAAGGTGTGATACTACTGATTTAAAAAGAACCTAATGAAACACGAAGAGTCAGTCAACTTAAGGAACTTCAAAAAACAATTGAAAAAATTTATGAATTTCACGAATACAGTTGGACAGCTACAAGAACCTAACTGTTGCTCAAACGACTTTTTATTGAGTATGATACATTTTTTTACCTTATTACAAAACATGTTTTCCGTTAGTTGTATGCAAAGGAACATGTATTCAACAAAATCATAAACATTCACTTTGTTGAGCAAATAGTGCTAATGCATAAGTACCTTATATTTCCAAAATATCAAATGCACTTGCACTCAAAATTGCTTCTACACATGGCATTTATAAGGATTGACTCTATCGCACCAACAAGGTTAAAAACCAAAACAATTTTAAAGTTACTGTTCTACGTGAAAAGACCTAACCATTTCTTAAATGTACAGCAATAGACTACATGATAGATTTATTGGTTTGCAGAGCCCCAGTCACTGCATTGTCCACAGAATGAAAACATGATTGTACAAAACTGCACGAGAAAATTGAGAATCCTAAATAACCTAGGAACAATTCACTAGATGGAACAAAGCCTTATTGCTAGTATTATTCAGTTAGTAAGAAACTATGATAACGCAGCTCTGAAAAGTCGAAACAAACTAGAAGCTCAAAAGAGAAAAGTTGTGTTCCATTAAAAATATGTGCCCGTAAGAATCTTAAAAATTGTGACAGAAGAAAATTGATTTAATAAGATTTAAAGGAACTTTAAAATGATGGGAGCTTACTTGCAAGTCCATAGTAGCAGACTTCAAATGCCCGTTCTCACTCATCAACTTCACAAATTCATGAGCTTTCGCCTGAGGAAAAAATACTAACATGTCATCTCACTAAATGATTATATTAATGAACAAGAGCTGAAATTTGGGTCTAACATACCAAGTGAACTCTCTTTTCAAGAAGTTAAAAACACAAAGGGAGAAATTATTTCTAATCACTCAAAAACCTGAAATATATCTATTAACTTTACAATAATCCTCCTTCATAATAGGAAATTGCTTATACAACTAACATATGAAGCTACACCTTTTTATCTTCTGATCTTTAGGCAAATGTGGACATCTTGTGCCTAAACAACAATAACAAAATACCCAGTGATGTCCCACAACTGAGGTCTAGAGAGGGTAGAGTGCATGTAGACTTTACCACTACCTCATATAGTTCAGACAGACTGTTTCAGAAGTTTGAGTGCAGTAAATTCATCAATTAACAAAGAAGGAAAAAACATCATATTGACAATAAGTAGATAATTCCTACTATATTAAACCTGAACCTCCAGCTAGCTTCCTATTGAATGATTGTTTTAGAACCTGGCCACTCCACTAAGGCATGACCATAACTAGGGACAACGAAAAGATGAGGGGTTTCAATTCATACGCACAACCGGTTCATGAATAGCCAGTAAGCTATCACACATTACAATATCACTATATTAGGATAGTTTTGATCCATGTTTAGTAGGGGGATATCATGTCTATCTTTGACATTGTATGGTAAAGGTTTCAGTATTTCCATTGTTTAACATGTCATAAACATATACTAAATCAAGTTCATTAACTGAATCAGATACCCTCTTTAGACCTTCATCTATGTTTTGGTCACAAAGAAAGATTCTGATAGAATGCTTTTTAAGACTTCCACCTTCACTGGGAATTACAGAATCTGACAAAGAAGGTCTCTGACTATTTTCTTGATCATTTGATTCATTCTATGGTTCATCCGGAGAACTTTCCTTTGTGAATTCTTTCTTATGTTCCCTATTTGGAAATCCCTCAATGACTTCTTTTTTGTGCTCACTGTCAACATCGGTATTTTCTTTTGAATTAACAAGCAGCAGGGATACATAAGTAATATTTTATATTACAAATCGGACCCATAATTAAAAACCAAATCTGTATTGAAAATTCAACTATTTTTGGGTCTAATTGACAAATTTACACAAGTTATTTCATAATTTAATCATCCAATTAAAAATTACCCTCTAACTATCACCATAAATCATGAAAACACAACTGAGATTTTTCCAATTGATTAATAAAGATACAAACTTTACACTGAAAAGAATATGCGAAGAATTGAAAAAAGTAGCTACCTGATATAAAAACTATGAAGTGGAGTGACTGACCTTGTTATGGATTCAATCAGTGATGCATGTATTCAAAACTCATGAAGACATTATATAGAATAGTTGTTATCACCCCAGGGTTATTAGGGACTCAGGTACATTGTCTTTAGTGATAGGCGAAATTCACTTTTACTTGAGACATCACAGGCTGAGTAGAACCACCAGATCGAGCAGGACATCCTAATAATTCAAAATAATATTGGCAATTAACTGTTTCTTTTGAAAAGTAAAAAATAATAATGACAAAAAATATGGAAACAAAATACTAAAAAAGCTATAAAACCATAACCTCCACTCACCTATCCAACATAATTGAGAAACATAACCTTAGAACTTTCAGTTTCAAAATAAAAAATAAAGCTAGATACCATAACACTCTGCAAAACATTTCACAAACTAGAAGAAGCCTAGAATTTCTATTGACTCTCAAATCAGTAGTAGTAAAATTTGTATACCTTATACATTGACTTGTAGAAGAAACTTACTCTGCTTTGCACTTGCAGTAAATTCTTTAAGTTGTTACACCATTCTTCATCTAAGAATGGAATGTAAATTATGCTTTAACCCTATTCCATTAAAATTTATCTACTGGGAAAAAAGAAAATTATGCCACACTCACCTAAACGAAATTTGAAAACATGTACAATTACAAAATTTTTGCATATAATAGCAGTGCCCTATTTGAAATGGAAAATTATAGACATAAAAAGATCAAAAGACTTGGAGAAGGGAGAACCTTACCTATGGTGTGGGCATTGGTCAAATTCATAATGTAATTTGATTACATATAGTGCTTTTGATTATAACCTTTGGCGAAATCGAGCCGTAAACTCCCGCGTTTTCTCCTCTCCTCGTTTTCCTTTTAGATTTGCTTGGAGCAAAAAGCGCTTAAGATTAAACCCTAGGAGAAATCAAGCCCTAAAATGCCTCATTTTCCTCCTCATCTTTATTTAATTTTGCTGGAGCAAAAGGATAATTGCATTGGAGATTGGGTATCCAAAAGTATATTCTGTATAGGAGGAGAAGAATGAGGGAGTTTACACGATAGAGCTTAGAGAGTTATGATTAAATTATTTATATATATATATATATATATATATATATATATATATATATATATATATAGGTAG